AAAGCACAACTGATTTGTAAAATATGAGCTATATATCTCTGCTTTAAGATTAGCAGAGATTATCATCTTAGAATTACTTGTGATTGAATCAATGAAGTAATCTCTGTGTGTGAGTTTATCCAATACTCAAAATATTCATTATCCAAGTGCTCGTGAATCTTGCAGCAATTCCTATGCAATTTATAATACCTATAGATAATCTACAAACTATTCATGACAATCTTAATTAACTATTTACTTCCAAAGGTATGATCGATTATGGAATTGTGAATAATAACAAAATTATTCAGGAAGTAAAACATGCAAAGTGAAACACAAGAATAAACTAATTAACTCTTTCATCAAACACTTTGATTATAAATAAGTCCCTTTTATTTAATCACCATAACAATTACAAATTTGTTCATTGTATATTGTTTCAAGTAATCAACTAACCATTTGAATCAAATAACATTAATCATGCTATGTTATAACCATGCATACTATGCATCTCTATGGTCCTTCCTTTGTGAACAAATCCATTGTAAATTACACCAATGATGCTTATTTCACAATTTCTAATTCTCTTTTCTATCAAAGATGTAGTGGAATTCTTGTTTACATGAATTGTCCTTCTGAGATTTTGAGGTTCTAAAGTTATAGAAACCAAGCCTTTGATATTATAGAATGTTCCACTTAAACTTTGTTACTCAGAGCAATTCCATGGTCATGAAGTTTCAAATTCAAGGCATACTCCTTGAACACTTCTCTTGTATTAAAATTTCCAACTCACATATTGATTTTATAACTAAATCTTATTATGGAATATATCCATATACCCATATCCCATTATGGAATCATTTTCATATTCCCATATGAGGACCAATCTTCAGTAAACCTCATAATGTTATTTACAGTTTGTTTAATAACTATAGTCACTTAAAATTCCAGTCTTTTTAAAAATTAGAATAAGTGAATATTATAGCATATGTATTCGATCCTATATATGAAGCATATGAGATTCGACTCATTATATCTTATGTAATGTCACACCCCGCTAAAGCGGAAACGCAAGGTATGACAGCGATAACGATTTCATTGCAAAAGATAAAGATACATCACCATAGCAGTATTTAAAGTTTACAACCCATAGCTTCAAAAGAAACAAAATACAAGTTCTTTAAAATAACATTGTTCAAAATATAACTTCATAATAGCTTCAACACGATGCAGCATGCTCTATGATGATGAATCTTTACATCCACTTACTAATTATTTCCTGAAAAAGCATGTAAAACGAGCGTCAACTATGAAAATAGTTGGTGAGTTCACAAGTTTATAAAATCGAGCGTACAATAAGGCTTTTCGTAAATACAAGTACATTGCTTCAATGATAAACAAGTTGATTGCTATTAATGAATACAAGTTTATTGCTATAACGAGAAACGAGTTTGTATGTGTATGAGCAAACAATGAGTCTCAACCAAACCTATCGAGATCTATGCTTATCGTTCCATAGATGAATATGGTATCATGCACTCCAGCGATTCAGGCGAGTGAGGAGTTGTCAATTCCTAATAGCGCTATCCATAATGACCATTGGCTCAAAGAGTTAATGGTTAGAGATAAGGGAAGGGCCTTAGTACGATAAGTTCTCATGTTCCGTGTTGCATAGACATACATAAAGAAACATAGCAATACAATAGCAATCATGTTTGATACAATTTAATTTAAATACAACACGCAAACAGTAGTTTTTCTGGACATGCTTTTCCACCCCAAAACATAAAAACTGAAAGTAGGGGAGTGTGTGAATACTCACAGTATGCTAAATATAGCAACCAAGTTTATACGATTTAGATAAATACAACGGATATAAATAGTTTAGGACATGTTTTTCCACCCCAAAACATTTAAAAACCGAAAATAGGGGATTGGTGAATACTCACGATGTTCGTGTAGGCACAAGCGGTACTTCGGGATGCACCAACGTCTTACTACCGGGATCCTACGACATCAAACACACACACTAGTGAGTTTCCATGTCGATATCTAATGCTAATATACTAAACTCTACATATAGGGAAATGCCAATTTATGTTTTAGTATTGGATTTTATATCAATTGGTTACACTTTTGCTGAAATATTGAAATTTACAAGTCGTGCGATTAATTATAACATTGGAAGGTTAATTTTCCAAATTTTAAATCTCTATAACAACATAAATTCACAAAAAATAGCATTCGAGGGATAAAAATTCTCAAACTTTTTATTTAACTGTTATTACACAATACTAAGCTGGGAAAAATATAAAAATGGATTTCCAAGCTGTTTAATTATATTTTATGATTTATGCGCATTTATTCCAATAAAAATTGAAATAAATAGAAAACAGTTTCCAAAATTACCCAAACTTTTTATTTAATTGTTATTATACATAACTAGACTAGGAAAAATATAAAAGATATTTTTCAGTGGGTATTGTTATTTTTCCTTGTTTTATTCTTTTAAATAGTCATTAATTAAAGAAATAATATTAAACAGTTAAAATAAATCAGCATAAATTTTTGTAACATCATTTACAGTATAAATAACCTGGGAAAAATATCAAAAGTACTTTTCCTAATGTATAACCTGGGAAAAATATCAAAAGTGGTTTTCATAATGTATAAACTGGTTTTGGGTATTTATGTGTATTTAAGTGTATTTTGGTGCAATTAACTTTAGAAAACAAGAGAAAAATAGTTTACAGTAGAGAAAAATCCTCAAAATGTTTATGTAGCCTCCTACAGTATAATATGATACCCTGGTAATTTTTCATGATATTTGGATAGTCAGAACTATTTTTCCCATTTTTAGACCATTATAAATACCAAAAATTGGGAAAAATAGTTATACATGATGAAAAATCTTGAAATTATTTTCTGGAGTCACCATTCACAGGTAAGGTATGCGAAAATTGTTAGATACCATTTTCACATTCAGTAAAGTGGTTTTGTGATTTATTATGCCCTACACAAAAGAAAATCGGGAAATCGTATTAAACAGTAACAAAAATTGATGAAATTTGGTGAGGGGTCATTATTCACCATAACGATCATCCATGAATTTATTCAGGATTTTTTGACCTCTGGAAGTATTTTATGTGATTTATGCCCTTGATTTTAGCAATAATTTTAATAAATCAAGGAAATAATAAAAGCTCTTGAAATTTTTCCAGATTATCTCATGCATGTGAGGGCTTTCAAAAGGAAAAATGTTAAAAATGTATTCAGAAGAGAAATGAGGGTAATGAATCTAAACAAATTAAGAAGGGTTACATGCAATGATGCATGAAATGTAGATGTGGCTGAAGTTCATGAATTTATGTAGCCCATTCAGTGAGGTTTTAAGCCACGAAATTTCAGCCATCATTCACTAGATATGTTAAGTTTCTAAGGTATTTTTCCTCAGATTTATGGTTGGGTTTAAGGCCATTGATCATGCAAGACAAAACTAGTGATCACAGAAAAAGAGCTGTATGCGCAACCATTTTGTAAAAATTGCCAAAAATCGGATATTTAATATTTTACAGTGAGACCAGTTGGGTTTGAAAGTTAACTCGTGGAACGAACCAATACAAAAAGAATATCATGATTTGGTTAAGAAATTACTGAGTTATGGACGTTCAAAGTCGAACAAAGTAATCTGGCTGATTGCATGTTTGTTTGTGTGCATTATTAGGGTATTTTGACAAGAACATCATGCATGCCTTTGGTAAGATCCGATTTCTAACACATGCATGGAGTGAATGAGCATCCAAGATGTACTATAAATGGTTTAAATGTTTTTGGTCATGCAAGAACACAAAAGAAATGGAGAAGAAGATGAAACATTCGGTTTTGATGTCACATGATCATATGTGCATCTTTTCACTCCTTGCATGGGTTTGATCCCGGATTTTCACCATCTCAAACACATGCATTGTGTTATGGTGAGAATCTACAAACCAAAATGGAAAAATAAAGATTTCTAGCCATGGAAAGGCATAGAATCCGAAAAGAAGAGAATACTAAGAAGAAAAAGAAGTTTAACCATGAAACTATGGAAGAAGATGATGTTGTTTACGTTGGTTATGATCTTGAGAGAAGTAAGAACACTTCAAGGTCTTCAAAATCTCAAATTTTGTAGAGGAATGAGAGGATTTTCGTGAGTTTAGAGAGAGAGAGGAAGAGAGTGAAGTGTGTGAAGAGAGTGAAGTGTGAGAGAGTGAAGAAAGAAGAGATGGAGTGAGGGAATAAGTTTAATCATTGAGTTTGGGGAAGAGAGAGTGCATGGGGAGAGGGGATGGCAGGATTTTTGAGTGGGTTAGGCCTCCTTTCTCCTAATTCAAATTTTATAAAATTATCTCCTTATTTTTATAAAAACACTAACTTTTATAAAAGTGCTTAATAAGCAAATTTGATTTATTTAAAAATCTTGTTTTCAACAATTAAATTATGATTAATACTTGATAATTTAATTTCTATTTCATTGATTATAACGCATAATTTGATTAATAAAAATTTGATTTTAGGAAGTTTATAGTCAAATTTTATAAAGTTTTTAAGCTTTATAATTTATAAGTTTGGATTGTTGGCTCTTTAGGGTTTTTGGAATATTGTTTGATGTTCATCAACATGTTGAAGTATAATTAGAATGTTTTAATTTATTTTTAGGGTTTTATACCCTATTTCAATTATAACAAAGCTTGAAGCTTTATTTAATTATAGTATTGGCATTTCTATTGTAGCTAAGCAACTTACTAGAATTGTAAGTATCAAGTATATTAGTCCTAGACCTTAGTTGGATCCTAGTTTTATGCAAGATTTTGACCTAATTTATACTACTAGGTCATGGCATGTTGTGCATGAATGGTTTTTATAAAGATGCATGAGTCCGAGAATGACCTGAATTGGC